AATAAGTTTGAATACGGAATTAGAAATCATATAACTTGGTTTCATAGTGCGGTAAGAAGTTGCAGTTGCCTGACGGCCCCTCTCTGAGGGCCCCTTTGTAAACCGTTTCATCTCGCTCGCACCACTTGTGTTTGCTGCCTAATCAGGTGACGTTATCGGCGCTATTTTTAGCCGGGCTTTCCCGAACAATTCAAGTGGTCAAACTGGACATTTGGAACGGACTATGAATATGGGGATAGCGATTTAACATAAGTGGAAGTGCATACAATACATACATTCATTAAAAAAAAACCGCCTTTTCACGTGATGTCCCTTTAAGTTTATATAGGGAAATAACATTTTGGAACAACATTTTTTTAATTTCCACTGGAAGTAATTCAATTTGGGCAGAGACGTATATGGCTTTATACGTCTCTGATTTGGGTTAGCATTATCAGTATTGGGTAGCAGTTTGATGGTATGCACATATGAGCCCTGAATGACCCCCCGGGGCTGATGGGTGGGGCCAAAAAGGGTCGAATTGACTGAAATTTAAAAAACCTTCTTCTCAAGACCCAGATATGGTAGAATCAAACACTCTTCAGAGATGGAAGGGTCTTAAGGTACTCTACCAAAATTGTGAATTTCATGACCTCTGGGTATCACGTTTGCCGCTTGGGGAGGGGGGTAAACTTTACTTAAGTTTATATAGGGAAGTTGACAGTTTGATACTTTGAAAATTTTGAGCCAGCCCTACCCCCAAGGGCTGTAGGGTGTGGCCCAAAGGAGTCAGTGTGCTAAAATTTCTTCATTTTCCTTGTTTAGAATCAGAGGTGCTAGTTTCAAATATCTTTTAGTCTTAAATCTGTATTATAGATATTAAATAAGGTGGTTTTATTGTTTTTTGTCACTGAATAANAAAAGTTTTTCGCCGTGTAAAACCTCTAACATTGTTGGAGTAGACCCAACAGGGCTGATGGGTGAGGCCAAAAAGGGTTGAATTGACTGAAATTTCAAAAAAAAATCTTCTCAAAGACCCAGATATGGTAGAATCAAATACTCTTCATAGATGGGAGGGTCTTAAGGTTTATAACCCTAGGGTCTCACGTTTATCCC